AAAAAAGTTCATACAGTACAATTTAGATTATTATATAAGGGCTGTACTGTATTGTACGAATTTTATAGGTATTGTATGATTTTTGTACAAAATTTATGTAAAATCGTACAGTACAAAATAGCTTTTCGTACCATACAGTTTATCATTATACTGGTAAAATAAGATCAATTTAAAATTTCTGGTATAGAGAAAATCATTCAATCACATGCAATTCTGTATTTGTTGATTTTGACATATAAATGTGATAAATGTGCGATATGAATTTACAAATCAACTTATCCAAAAATTCTTATATCGAAACTTCAGTTGTATAATAATAAAATAATAATAATACTGTATACATATAATTAGATGCTTGTAGTGCTTTATGTGAGTCTTTCATTATTTAATAGAGGAGATAAATTTCTAAAAAAATATTTATACTATACTATAATAAATGAAAAAATTTGGACTGTTTCACACAACAATAAAAAATTATATAAACACTAGCCTCCGCAAAGCAAACAAAAAATAAAGCAGAAAAATGTCTCTTCCTATAAAAAGAGTCCCATTTCTCTCATCTATTAGTGTAGATGAAATCATACAAATGCATTTAAAAAATGGCATTAAGAATGTTAATGAAACAATGAATGCATTCATGATTTATCGTAACGAATTTAATCACATTCACCAAAACTTTAACCTTTCATGTAAAAATGTGTCAAAATTAACAAGTAAATCTTGGAAAAATGAGTCAGAATATGTTAAAGACTATTACAAACAGATATCTAAAGAGGTTAAGAAATGCTTTAAAGAAATCGTCCCTACTACTTGTTTCATTAACAAATTTGGAACAAGCAACCAAGTTGGTACAAATAATGTTTCTCTAGAAACCAATCCTCCTATGGACAAAAACTCACCAGACTCTATTTATTCTAGTCACCAATTTGTTAATATGGGTCCTATGAACCAGATCTCTCCAGAAATTACCTGTCATAATTCTCTACTTATGAATACAGAACAAAACTCTTTAGGCACTACCTGCTATAATTCTCCACCTTCAAACCCACAAGACGTTATTTATTCTAGTTACCCAGGTACTACCCACTCTAATCCTTCTGTGTTCCAATGCTTGCATTAACTGGTATAATTCTAATGTTCTAGGCACTACTTATGTTAATTCTCCACCTTCAAACTCTCTCAACGCTATTTATTCTAGTCATAAATTTGGAAACATGGGTCAAAATTCTTCAGATGTTACCTCTGTGGATCAATACCCTCCAGAAATTACTTTAACTGATCCTTCGAATATAGACAAAATCTCTCCAGGCATTTGCTGTTATAATTTACCATTTTTAAATGTTCTTGACATCTCCCACGTTAATTCTCAACCTTCAAACTCACTTAGCACTATCTACTTTAGTCAAAATTCTCCAGATGCCACCAACTCTAATCCTCCCATGGTCCAATACCCTCCAGAAATTACTTTCCCTGATCCAAATATGGAACAAATGTTTCCAGGAATTAACTGTTATAATTCTCAACTTATGAATGCGGATCAAAACTCTACAGATGCTACCTACTATAATTCTGCAAGAATTGACTGTTATAATTCTCTACTTATTAATGTGGAGAAAAACTTCCCGGACACCACTTGCTATAATCCTACATTTTTGAGCATAGATAACAACTCTCTAGATGCCACCTATTTTAATTCTCCATCCTCATATACGTACCAAGACACTACTTACTTTGATGACCACTTCTAAATACAACCAATTATATATGTTAATTCATATACATAACTACGGACTTATGAATTATCTTTCCCTTTAATGATAACGCTATGATTTACATTTTGCGAAACCCTCTATACTAGTTATTTAATTTAGAATAAGCATGATTCTTAAGAAAACAATAAGTTTTGTAATTAAAAAGAACCCACTATTTATTTTAAGTAAAAAATATAAAATTAAGCAATGCAAATTTCAGATACATTTATGGATATTTTATTATGAATAATATTCTAACCATATTTGTCAGGCAAACAATAGATAGCATTTGTGTACAGAAAAAAACAATGGATGCAATTCCTTTTTTGAATTTTAGCACCAAAACAAAAATAGTACGCACATTATACCCACAACATCTAATATAATTAATATTTATATACGTAATTGGTGACTCAATTATCTGCAACGAAAATTTTTAATTTAAATTTCTTTAATTTAATAATATTTATAATCACTGTTACATGTAATTGTTAGTTGAAATTTTAATCCTTAGATAAACACAGAAAATTATCTTCAAAAAAGAAGCGATTCAAACTGAATTTTCGATTTCAATATAGTATAAGAAAAAATCATTTGAAAAATCACACATATGGATTAATAACTTTATTACTTTACAAGTTGTTAGGAATGGAATTTTTTAATATATACTGTATATCTAATTTACATATTAATAAAAATAAATTTTATCAATCTGGGTTGAATTTTCATTTGTATATCTTTCAAATAAATAAACTAAAAAAAAAATAAAATGCATAAATTGTATAAACGAATATATTAAAACATTGTTAAATGTACTAAATGTAGTGAATAGACATTGTATAAATGTTGTGACACAGATTGACCGGAATTATAACTATGGCCTATGTAGATCTTTTTAAATTCAGCTAACCCTAACCTTAACTTTGGCAGTTGTAATCTGAGGCACAACATAAAAATTTGTTTAATTGGTGAGAAAAAAAAATGATATTACGCAAAAAAGGTAATTGTTATTATTATTTCCCGAAACGTGGTAAGAAGTGCAATTTATGGGTTTGGTCTATGGTTAAAAGTTTAATTTTTAGTTTAAAGAATTTGTAAAAATAAAAAATATCTACTCACTGAGATCTGTCAAGATAAGCTATTTGTATAGATAAGTAAATTTAAATCTCCTTTGGATTTAATTGAAGAAAATTTATTTATAAATGCTATTATTTCTATATTATAGCAGTATGGAATTTTTCATTAAGACATGTAAAATGAGTTGGTCATTAAATAAATTTCTCTTCTTTTGGATAAAAATGCAAGCTGTTGGTTACATTATGGTTTTTGTTCGCCCAAAATTCTTCCAAAATTCTTTTAAATGACAAAATGACTAATACACGATTAGAAAATAATGAACTATCTCTAAGGTTCCCTAACAGGGGTTTCCATTTATATCTTCCTTCATTTGACAACCTGTTTCATGAGATTCAAACTTTTCTTTTTGTCACGATATAATTGAATTCATTATTTTCATTAAATTGAAAAAACAGATGTATTAGATTGTGTAGGGGAGGAAAATTGAACTTTCAGTTGTTCGATTGAAAATAGTTGTACTAGAATTATTAATTGCCACTTAAGTAAAAGTAATAGATATTCGAAATAATCTTAGTTAAAACCCTTTGAAAATGGACTAAAGCTCCTAATGTAACAATTCGGTTCAGTTCAGTTGTAATGTCGAAACCGAATCAGAATTAAACTGGTTTGCACCAGTTCTTGTCTAAATCCTCCTCTAGTTTAAGATCAAATTCTTCAAATTCTATTAGGATAAGAAAAAGGAAAAGATAAAAATAAAATATAGTTTCCTTATTATAATTTGTCAAATGATAAAGAAAAATATTCGAATAACAATATTTAATAGTTTTAATACATTTCTGAAATATATAAATTTCCGTAATATATAATAAAAAGTTAGGATTGCACATGATAAATAAATAATTTCTGATAAACAAAAATAATTTGATAAATTCAAAAGTACAAATAATAAAAATAAATAACATAATTTCATATTACAACTCAATTACATATTACAACTTAATTACGTATTACAACTAAGTTACAACTTACAACCTGATTACGACACTTTACAACTTTGAACAATTGTTGTAATTAGGGTTGCAACCTAAGTTGTAATTCGTAATTCCCGTAATTATTACTTACGTCAGGCCATGCAACTCTAACGGCAACCATCAATTCAAACAAGGTTTTGGCATCCACATTCTTGGTACCAATAATTCCGCCGTAGATATATCTATATATTTGAATTATGTTGGTAGTAAAATAGTTATCCAACGTTGCATTGTCCAAATTAGTTACAATGAATGAATAAGAACCTTTCTAAAAAATGTTATTTTAAAAAAATGACATTCAAATTTTTTGGAAAGTTATCTTAAGACTTTTCAGAACTTCTTAATGACAAGGAAGGATATAATGTTATTATTGAAGTTGGTCAAGAACAAAATAAAAAAAAACCTTCATTGCGCACTCGGCTATCTTAACAAATACTGTTCATAATGATGATGATAATAATAAATTTATTGTTAAACTAAATATTTCTGCTCAAATATTTGAAATTATTCTTAAGCAATTCTTTTATAATTTGTTGTTTAGTTTAATTATTCTTTAATTTACTTCGTTATGATATGAAATATTAAATTAAAATAATTGACGATTTGAATTATTTTAAAAAATAAAAAATTCGTAAATTAGTATATAACGTATTCAAAAATGTTCATTTTTTTTTTGAATAAAATTTTGTTCATAAATTATACTCTTACTTTAAGTATTGGTATTAATTTTTATTTTATTAATTTATAATATTTATTATTATTATTTTTTTTTAATTTAAAATTATTATCCCGCCCATGCTTGATTTTTTAAATAATCTAAATACATACGTATATATGTTGTCTCAGACTAACACTTAAGTCAGATTAAAACTGGCCAAAATTAAGGTATGGTTAGGGTGAAATTAAAAGGATCAACATAGGCTGGTTTTATAATTCTGGTCAATGGGTGACACCTGACGTACCTCTGACGCAAAAAGTCGATCTGAGGCACAAATCTTAGTTTTGTAAGTAGGATTTTTCTTTATATGTCTAGAGTTTGAGATAAGTTATTGAAGAAAATATTGTTTTCAAAAAATTATACATTAATTAAATATTTAATTACATTGTTATTTCGCTTTGTTTATTTAGAAAATAATTTATTATGCAAGCGAACTATTAATTACTTGTCTCTCTTTTTTATTTTTTAGCAAAATAATTCACTTACTGCTTGTTTATTTGTACCGATGTCATAATTTTTACAAAAACATTATGAAAATCCAAATTTAACAGCAACTAATTTATAAACTTAATTTATAAACCTACTAAATGTCTAAGCTTCAGATCTGTGGTCAACAAACAATTAAATTTAATATTTTGGGAAATTTTTGATAGTGATGCCTATTGAATACATATTTTTTAATCAAAAATTAAACATTACCACCAGGATTACGTTTTACAAAGAACAAAAGAATTTCTAATGCTGATAGATGATCTGATAAATCATCTATTGAGGTGTACATGATAGCTAAAGCCACTTCGGAAGGTATTAGTTCAAATTTCGAATATCTCCAATAATTCTAATAGGCGATTGCAACACGACAATTCCATATGATATGAAGAAGATTTTATGAATATTGTAGAGTTTCAAGCTTCAAATAATGTCTTGACCACGTCCAAGTCCTAAATTTCTTTCACTAAACTGAAGAATATTATTCATAACCATCTTCTAATTGGTATTATCTTTTTTTGATTGTTCAAACGTTAATGTTTGAATATAATATTGAGGTTGGACCTTCAGTTTTTGTAAAGGATCTTCTAAAAATCAAGGGTCTGCAGGTTCAGGAGTAATCACCGCTATTTCTTCTAAAAATTCATTTTGTATTAAAATTTAAATATTCTAGAATTGCACAAATCTTTAGGTTCAATTAATGCCATAATTATTTTCTGATCAATATGCATTTTATGTTTCATATATGTTGTATACGTATGATATCTTTCTACATTATCAATCACGGAATTCATGAATTCTTTAAAAGCGGTCATTATGCATCTTCGTTTCTCACGGAATGTTAAAATCTGACGATTTTATTGGCGAAAATTCATTGTGGTGTTGGTGCACTCTAATAACGTCCATAATTATATACATTTTTCTTAACAATTCTTATTTTCCAAAATCTTTAATGCAATGCATTGAACCAAAAGCCAATTATATTCTGGACATTTGTCAATGGCTGTCACCCGTAAAATTTTTGATAAGCATAATTTTATTATTTATTAATATTATAAAATGTAATTAATGTGACCCTGAAATTTAATTATTTATAACAAATAAATGCAATAATTGCGTGAAACTTAAAAAGGAAAAACCAAATAATGCAAATTCATTGAATATTAATTTTCTTAGGCATTCATTATTTCCAATTTAAAATATTTTATTTTGATTTAACAAATCTAATTTAAAATTTCTAATTAAAGGATATTACATAAATTCTACATGCCCAATTAAAATAGTAATACAATGTATTTAATATAAGGATTCGTGTCAATAATCCAATCTAAGGTGTTATGTTTTACAAAAATTATAAAATCAAAAGATCAAAAAATTTATCTCACCTTATAATAAATATAACACAGGCTTAATTTATTATTTTCGCTAACATACAGTACCTATACAGAGATTTTTTTTTTTTTTTAAAAAAAAAAAATAATTTCTAATTAAATTATATTCAAACCGATGTAATTATAAAAGAACGCAATTATTTTGGACGAGTTTTATTTTGACGTTCATTTTATTGGTGAGTAACCCGTCGTTTCATATTATATGTAATGTAATTCTGTTAATAATTTATACGGAATAACCAGTGATCGACGCTTGTTTGTAAAAAATCTTCAATGCAATGCATTGAAATTCTGGAAAAGATTATCATAAATTTATGCAATAATTGCATGAACCTTAAAAAGGAAAAATAAAATAATGCAAATTCATTAGGCATTCTTTATATTGATTTTCTAATTAAAGGATATTACATAATTTCAATTAGAATGGTGTATTTATATAATACTGTATAAGGATGCCAACAATCTAAGGTGTTATGATTTACAAAAGGACTGAATCATAAAGTCAAAAGATCAAAAATTTGTTTCCACCTTATAATAAATATAATATAGGTTTAATTTATTATTCTCACTAACATACATGTAATTATAAAAACAGGAACGCAATCATTTTGGACTATATTTGGACTACAACAAAAAAAAACGATGCAATATAATTATTATTATGCGACACAACTTTATTAGCTCTCATTTTTTTTTTATTTTTTCCCTTCTCAATAAGATAATTGAAATATAAAAAGAGGTATTTTTTTTCCTTCAATCCACAAAAAAAAATTCGCTTTTTGACTTTTTTTAAGACTTTAATATATAATAAAATGAACTCAAAATTTATATCTTTTGCTTTAAGCATCTTGACCCTCTCCATCATCTTATCGGCAGTTGCTCATCCTGATATTCATGAATACAATAAACGTTTACCCAAACTCCTTAGTTGTCCTTGTAAAGTTGCAAAAGCGACATTCGACTCCAATGTTTTCGGGCAAGTTATCTTTGCTCAAGACAACAGTGGCGGTACTCTTGTGACTGGTTTCTTCAGTGAGGGGATGCACCCTGAAAGGCATGCAATTCAGTACTATGTTAAAAATTCTTGCGGAAAACTTCTCTATAATATGACATCAGCTTTAAATGTCAAATATCGAAAAAACGGAACATACCCTTTTTCAGTAAGACTTAATGACTTTAACCTCAATTGTAACTCTAAAGGAGTGCTTCTTAGTTCTTGTAAGCGTCATCATCATAAACGACAAGCCGAAGATGATACAGGATCACCATCATTCGAAATTAATTCAAATGGTGATAGTGCTGTTGCGGATATTGAGTGATAACTTTTCGTTTCTAATAAATTTTTTTCCAAATTAAATTTGTTGAAAAAAAGAAACATCTTTTGCATTATAATTGTTAGTTATTATAATATTAGTTATATTATTTATTACTCTTTCAAAATACGGATGAATCCTTCAAATTATTTACATAATTAATAACCATAATTAATTAATAAATTGCTCTCAAATTTTAGGGATACCATTAAAGATTTTTAATTACAATATTAATTAAAAATAAATTTAGATTTAAAATGAAATATAAAAATTTTCACTACAAATTTAAATTCCGTATTAATATTTTAGAAAGTTATTTGATTTTATTAATTTTAGTAATTATATGATAAAAAATAAAAAATGACAATTCTTATTTACTATTTCAATTTTGTATACTACTGTATATAATTAATTTTTTCTTTGATGCAATAAATCCAATTTTCTTTATGAAATTTTGAAAGAAATTCATTGTCTTGAAGTTATAAAAAATATAAATTTACGAGTTTAACGTTTTACTGTATCTATTTTCAAATAAAGAAAAAAATATTACGCACGAAAATAAAAATTCGTTTTTATTTCAATGAACTATTTATTTTATTAATAAAATCCAAAAACCTGGAAATCAATCCTTCATCAAATTATAAAAGGGTTATTTCAAAAAGAAGCGATTTCCTCAAAAACTCCAATATTAAAAAATTCGAAACTTTTCAGTTGGTGAATTATTATTAATATTAAAATAATTTGTTTTTTCCATTTAATCAATGAAAATTCAATATTTATTCTCTCTGTTATTTCAATATAATTTAATATATAATTAATATATGGTTAATAATAATAAACGTACCAGAATACTTTTTATTTTCTTTCACCTTCATTTTCTTTCACCTTCGTTTTCTTATTAGAGAAGTTTTATTTCTATTATTTTCTCGAGTTGACTTATTTTTTTTGTAATGATTTATTTTGTAATGATGAAGAACTTATGTGTAATTGATTCTACTAAATTGAGTGAATTAAATAATTTTTTTTGTGAAATTATTTATTTTCCTTTTATTATTTCGTTCATTTATTTCAAAATATTTAACCAAACGATTTTTTATTAGATTGTCCAATATTTTATTTTTATTAAATAAATCCAACATATTTAATTATATCTTTATTTAGAAAATTTTTCAATTATTATAATTATTATAATTATTTTCGATCATGTCGATTTGCAAATGAAAGAAGTTAAAATTTGGATAATTGTTATCAAATCGGGGATTGTTCAGAATCCTACTCTTTCTATAATTTGTTATCAAATTGGGAATTGTTCAGAATCCTACTCTTTCTATAATTTGTTATTACTGTTTTACTGATTATTAATATTTTTATATCAGCGAATAACAGTATTAATATGTTTATTTTTTTATTTTAAATTCTTAAATCATGTATAGTATTGTCGCGGTCTGCGCAGAACAAGTGGAAAGTTAGTCAATAAATTTAGGATAATCACACGATAATTCAATGTATCACTGACGCACTTTCTCTAGTGCACAATATCACAAAACTCAGTAAGATCAGGCAATCAGTCGATCTAAACCTGCTTACTAACACTCTCGAACATTGCAATTACGTGTAATATCTGAAGGTACGATGAGCAAGTGGAGTAAAAGTATCTTTAACAACTGCTTGCACACTACC